GACCTCACGATCACCCTGTGTGTGTGTGTGGGGGGGGGGGGCTGGCTCTCCTTCTCCTGCCTGCTCTCCTAGGGCAGCCTGAGTGCTGGGCCCCATTCCTCCCTCCTGTCACTGGTGCTGGGGACAGGCTCTGTTCCAAGGTTCCAGACATGCTAAGTGAAAGCCTGGAAAGCATGTGGGGTGACCCAGTGTGTCCCATCGTCTAGCCGCACGCCACACACCCTCTCTGTGCAAACGTGGACCTTCACAAATAGATATGTACATGTGTGCATGGATTCATATTTGCGCAGGTGTGTACTCACAGATAAACCATATCTGAGAGGATGGTGAGTGGTCATGAAATACAACTTCAGAAGTTATGTAGATAGGTGTTGAGTTTCTGCTTCACTGGTTAGTACTTAGGGGATTTTAAGAAATTTAATTACTGTAGTTCACAGCCTCACTATAGGAAATGCATGTAGAGCATTACACAATCCCAGGCACCCATCCATCCATCTGTCTGTCTATCTATCAATCATTTATCATCTATCCACAGAGGCACATACTTTAATTGGCAGAACATACTGTTATGGCTGATAGAATGAATGATTTTAAGACAAAAACAAACATGACAGAATTCCTTAGAATCCAAGGGGGTCCTTTAGATCATCTTTATCAGCAATTGCATTTTCCCACTTCAATAAACAAGCTATTTATTTTATATGAAAAGCAATTTCCTGCCATATGCGAAGCTTTGCTTTTTAGTAATATGGAATTCCTCCACACTATACCTCCAGGATTTGTTCATTAAACTAAATTCTGATAATCTGATTCTTATAATTTCATGCATAAAATTTAAGGCCAACAGATTTGAAGATGGAACCTTGGAAACTGAGATAAATGCTGAGTGTGTGAAGGCAGGACTCCGAGATCCCCGGCTGGAGGCTGGGTGGGTTAAATAGCTAGAGGGTGGGTGGGTTAGACAGCTAAAGGGTGGGTGGGTTAGACAGCTGGAGGCTGGGTGAGTTAGACAGCCTCCCCCTCTCCCAGCCACCACATCCACAGTCCTCTGAATGGGAACAGATTCCCGTCGTTTCTCATTGGCTTTGCTTAAGTAAGAAATCCTTGCTGCCCTTTCCTCTGCTTTGCCAATTTCATTATGGCAAAGTATCCATCTCAAAATGCATATATTTTCATTTATGTTTTTTTTAATCTGGCATTCCATGAATAAAGCATTTGCTAATAGTTAAAAATAAAATTGGTTCCAAATCTATGGAATTACCTTGACTTTTGAGAAATGTCCTATGTGTGGCAAGTATTGATCCTAGTGAATAAACACTCACAGGACCCAAGGACTTAAAGAGTTGGTATTTTCGATCCAAATATAAGTTGCATTATACACAAACTTTGTTCTTCACAAAATACTGGATGACAGAAAACAATGCAATTTCAAAGAAAACTTATTTCATGTAAAACAAAACAAAATGAAATGATCCCTAAGAAACCAGCCTAAATTATGGTAAATAATTCACAAAAATTGAATATTAAAAATATATTCAGTGCTTACATTATTAAAAGTCAGCATTTGAGAAATCACCCAGTATTTCATGAAACATAGAAAGAGTTCTGGAGTAAGTAAAGATGCACAGTAACAAACGCAATCTTATTTAAAATGCTTGGCCAGGGGTTTTCACCATGCACTCACCAGTGTTTCCAACATTTTTGTTACTGAATTACTAAACATTTTTGTTACTAAATTATTTTGTTACTAAAAAGTAGAAGCTTTAGGAAAATAAAGGCATTCCCTTCTAAAACCTGAGACACACGCTGCAGATTGGCCAGCTTTGGAGAGCACTTCTCCTTGTGTTGCCGGTTGGATGTGCTAACTCCTAGTCCCTAAGGTTTTCCATGTTTCCACAGTTTTCTTACCTCCCAGATGACATTTTTCTTAGAACACAGATAAGCTTAATGGCCAAATCATTATATTTTAATTAACTAAGATCTTGAAAGAAGATAGGCCAAAAACTTAGGAATTAATGCTATTCATGGACATGGTACTTCAAATTTGGGCACATATAGGAAATTTTATAGTCATTTGTCCTATTTTAAATTATATATAACCTTAATATTTTCTGTTTTTAAATTCATCAGCAATTTATGCAAATTATTTAGTTCACAATGGAGAATACTGTTGAAGGATGGAACTAGCAGATAAACTATTACAAGAGCACTCTATTAATTTAGTAAATTCATTCTGCATTTCCTAGTGAAAAATGTGCTGATTTCAACAACTATGAACTTACTTGCTAAGACCCTAAAGGGTTCATATGCAGAAAGTCAAATACTTTCAGTGAGCAATGTTAGGAGGAAATTCATAAGTGTTTCTATTTGATTTTCAGAGTTAAATTCAATGGCTGAACACATTAATTGGAATATTTTAATTCATTGTTTTCACATTCATTATGTACCTTAATTTTTCTACATATGAATAATAATTTATGTAAATAATGTTTACCCAAAATTACTGCCAAAAGCATTGGAGTTCAGTGCCCACATTAGGATCACTGCCAAGGTCATCATGTTTCAACAGATCTTGGAAGTTTAGAAGATTTCCTCAGATGAAGCCAATAAATTAAATCTAAAAAAAATAAATAGCAATCTGGTAATACTAAATAAGTCCTAATTTTAATGGGAAGAAAGCAGTCCGACTTTAAGAACTATAAAATTTTATTATTAATAGTTGATTTAGTATTTTAATCTAAATTCAATTTCCTTTAGAGTTCTTGGATCATACATCAAAATTTTATTATATTATTTGGCTCAAAGAATTACTAGATGAGCAATCTCTTCAAATAAAAAGGTCTGGGGTGGAAGGAAATCTGAATCATCACAGTACAACTGTCACCAAACTGAGACCTGTCTCTGCACTGTTGGTGCCCTGCTCTCTAGGTTCATCTACCAGGTGTCCTGCATTCAAGCAGCGAGTCTGCAGGTTTGATGCACTGTCCTGGATAAAACCTCTGCTTTCCCCAGGCCCTGCCTTGGGGAGGCACGGCTGTTTCAGCTCCCTGCAGAACTGGGAAGATCCACACAACATGGGGGAGGGCACGGGGATCCTCCCCCACCTGCAGAAGAGCCCTCCCTCCACAGGCTAACATGAGGACGACCGGGGGTCTTTGTTTTCTCCTGATAGATCACTTCCATCTTCCCAGAAGAGCTTCAAGCTAACTGAGGAATATTTTAAATACAGATATTAAGTGATGGAGGAAATTTTGGCTTTGCTGACAAAGCACTTTTGTATTTAACTGTTCTTTTAAATTTTTTCTTTCAAAATACTGGCTGTACTTACTTGTAAATATCAGACAATATAATCATATTATTATTCAAAATCTAAATTACACAAAAGCTTTCTCATAAAATACATTTTTAAAATCATTTATTTTAGAACTTACAGTCCTATGGACTTTTCTAGTCATTTTCCTATTTGATCTTTTTGAATAATGTGAAAATAGAGACAATTCCAACAATCTTTTTAAATGTACCATCCTGACAACAAGTAACACCAATTATATTCCAAGAAGATTGGCTAGAATTATTCCCCTGGCAACCACTGAACATCAACCTTTCCTGCAACATCAACTGTAGGCATTATCAGACTTCTGAGCATCTATCACAATGTTTGTTAGAGACGGTGTACTTCACAAGGAGCTGATACGGATTGCTTTAGTGATACTTTTGCAAACTTAATAGAAAATAAACCATGTGATTGTATGGTTTACAGGCAGTACTATGTAGGTCTGACTGAATTTGAAAGAGAACCACATCCATTAATCTTCAACTAGCCTGTTTCTTTCAAAACATTACACTCTTCCTTGACAGTTAGTAATTACTTAAAGGTGGTTAACACTTTTCAGATATTGATGTGGGTTTATTCGCAAATGCAGTATCCTCAAAGCTATTAGGATACGAAGAATAGATAGTCCTCAGCACCAGTCCAAAAATAACTTTAAATCAAAGAAAAAATCATTCTGTTCATCTATCTGTGTAAGGAGAACATTCTGTCCTCAAATTTTCTGATAATCTCCTACCGCTGAGTTCACCTACACTAACCATGTGAAACTGAAACTCTCCACAAAGCATGTTTGTGCCCAGGTGTACTGAGGATTACAAATAAGAACATGAGCAGATGTGGCTTAGGAGAGTTTGGCATCCAAAGTAAACAATGTTGACTTACTTTATAACTCCACTTATAATTATTACTTTTTAACTTAGAGCCTCCAGAGTTTATATTAACAATGATAGCTACTATAGGACACAGGAAAAAAAAATTAAAATCTCAGTGCCAAACAAGACTAAAGTAGACTCACTTCAGCCTTTATACTTAGTGTCACTAGTTCAATTCAAACATAGTGCCTAAAATAATCATTTCCTCTATTATAGTTCAATTTTTTATTTTTTTATTTCCACCCAAAACCAAGCTTTATAATGATAGCAAAATTCAAAGGTATCTACTACAAAATATGAAGACACAAAAACAAAACAAAATACCCACACTTTGCAAGGATGCAACAACAGTAACACCAAAATATTTCTGTGGTCACATATAACAAATTGGAATAAATTGAAATAAAAAACCTTCAACTTGGATTGTCATGCAATTGCCTTTCCTCAGACCCTGATCAGCAACAGTACCAGAAAAGTTTCACACAACTCTTGGACATTGTGAGTGAACTCTTCACACTGAACAGTGAGTGATACAAGTAGATTTATATCCAATATTTTCAAAACTTCCCTACCACACATCAACAAAAGGACAACCCAAGCAAGAAATTTCCCATTAATAACAGAAAACTAAGAATATTTAGTGCTCGGAAATTTGGCAATTGTAGGAAATAGTGCTTTCCAACTGCCAATCATTACCCAACCATGCACACAGCAAGCTTCCTCCTAACATGGCTGACCCAGAGTGGCATGTCAGGTCATGGAGGCAGTGAGTGTGCGCGCCGAGTGCAGTCTCCTACCTTCATACAGTGCCTTGAAGCCCTGGGCGCTCACTGCGAAGTCGGTGGTGAACCACAGAGTGAGGACAGACCCGGAGCTCACTATGGAGGAGGGCAGCTGAAATCCCGACAGCCTAAAGTCAAAAGAAGAGGAACATGGTGAAGCAGAGTTTGGCTGAAGGGAAGGAACATGGCACAGTGAAAAGGCACACATTTTCCTGAAAGTCGTACTTGATGAAGTCGTTTAAAGTCTTACCCATGCGGGATGCCACAAAACAGTCGGACAATCCACACATGTGACTTTGCTAGTGACTGAACTGAAGCATTACCAAGCACCAGAATTTGTTTACTTAAGTAACTTTTGAGGACACTTCTTGAAGGAATTATGCACCACTGTTCTACCCGCAGGATGGGAAGCTACCACAGGAAAGCACAACCCCCCCTTATTCAAGCTCCCTGTGAATTTGCATGTGCTTTGAATTCTTTCTTTCTCTCCTAAATTATTACTCTGCTCAATAAATTTTTGGCTTCTCTTGAGAGAAAGATACATACAATTCTGCTCATGCTGAGGTCAAAGGAATCCATCTTAATGTTCATTTTACAAGAAAATATATTTTGGATTCTAAGTGGTTTTCATGATCACTATGCTTGGGTACATTTGAAAGTTTTAAGGATGACAAACCCAGAAATCTGTGTGAGAAGACTAGTATAGTAATATGCACAGTAATTTGAAAATTAACAGTTTTTCCAAAGGCCAAAGAGAGACTACATCAATTTATATTTTACCCAAAGTTTCCTAATTAAATAGGTTTGTGTGTAGATATGTGCTATAGGGTGGCCTGAGCACAAGCTATGATGCAAAGGCAGTGTGCCTGCCTGTGTCACCAGCAGCAGAACTGAGCCTGCCAGCACCCTGCAGTACTAAGTGCTCATTACAGCTCCTCTGGGTTGTGGGATCCATGCTCTGGAGCCAATCCTCATGATTGATTGTGCACAAATAAAACAATAATGGATTAATAAAATTACAGAGCAAGCTTAAAAGCAGATCGGGGTTAAGTCACAGAATAATTGCACAATTATGACGTTATTTATGATATGTTATTTTGTTGTTTACTATCATCATTTTGTGTCAATCACTTTAAGTTTTCTACATGGGTTTTATTTTTAAAAAAAATCAATACTTCTTTAGTTTTACATGACTGTAATATACTGCCACAATTTCTTATAAATCAATTTTAGTCATTTTCTTAATTGAAATACAAATAAAAGCCAAGTTATATATGTGTGTATATTAAAATTTATGAGAAAACACGAAAATGGTACGAAACCAAGTAGTTGACTAATTACATTTCACTCTTGAAATGTTTGTGCTGCAGCCAGACACCAGGCAGTGATCTGGGGAAAGGAGGCCACCAGCACGGCGTAGAATAGTGCGGTTGGCCATCACCCCAGAGGCAAAGCAGTCACTCTGTGCTCGGGGAGGTGTCTCGAAGGAGAATTCTAAGTCTAAGCCATACCTTTGTAAATATAGACAGGATTATTTTATATTTTATATGGAAAGGCAGGAAAAAAAAAAAACAGAATAGCTCTACCAATTACGAAAACAAATAAATTAAGTAAAATAGAAGGACACCGTCTACCCAATTGCAGGATCTATATCAGTGACAATATTTGTTTTTGGTGCACTGGCAAAGGGATAAACCCATACAATATTTGTTATTATACAATAGATCAAAACCAAAAATCCAGGAAAAGACCTGTACAAATATGCCCAATTTGACAAAGGTATAAAAGCAACTTGGTAGAAGAGTTTGACAAATTAGGCTGGAACCATTGAATGGCCCTTGCAGTCTCCTGCAAAAAATGCCAGAGACCTTGGTCTAACACCTTTGTGACAATTAATTCAAGGTGGATCACAATCGTGAATGAAAATCTATGACTTTTAGAAAAATATAGGATAAAGTCTTCAGGGTCTAGTTCAGGGAAAGAGTTCTGAGACTTGACACCTGAATTAAAATCCAAATGAGTGAAAACAAATAAATTGGAAAGTATAAAAATTTAAACACTTTCTGGAAAAGACCCTGTTAAGAAGACGAAAGACTGAAAAAAAACACATCAGAAAATGGCCGGGCATCTAGAATATCTGTTAAACCTTCAAGACTTGTCTGTGGAAGAAAAGTAGCAATTAGAAGTTGGGAAAAGCCATGGATAATGACATCACCCAGAGACATGAAGACGGCCAACATGTGAGAGGCTTCATCTCACCAGTTGTGAGGACAGAGAGAAATAGCACTATACCACTCTACGTGCCAGTGAAGGCTGGGTAGGATGAAGACACAATTGACCGCTGATATGGGGCTCCTAGGACCCACAGGTGGTGCAGACACCTTGGAGCGGTGCCTCTGATTGTCCTATAGGCTAAACACACAGGTGCCACCAACCAGTACCCAGGCACCACTCTCCTGGCATATACCCAGCAACCCTTCCTGGGCCAGGGAGTTCTGGTCCACACTGCATCCAGTCTGCCTCCTGGGAATGTTATTTTACTACAGCTTCCTAAGGTATCTTTTCTGGGGTTAACGGTGAGGAGTATACAGAATTTCTCTGCAAAATTTATTATAAGCATATGTGAATCTATGATCATCTCACATTAAGCAGTTTAATTAAAAACACATTAGAACGTTAGAGTCTGAGAGACATTCAGGAAAACATTCATAAAAATGGTAGTAACCAACTCAGTAGAAAACCAACAATTAGTATTTAAACACTTAAAAATGTCATTTATTTCCAAAATAATAACCAAAAACCATTGAGGATTTTTTAATTTGGCAATTGACCATTCTGAAGATTTAAATCTCTATTAGAATAAGTTAGATAAAAAAATTACATGACAGCACTGTAAAAAATACAATTTTGTGTTCTCTTTTTTAAAAAAATATTTAGATTTAAGTGGATACAATATCTTTATTTTACATTTATGTGGTGCTGAGAATTGAACTCAGCGCCTCAAGCATGCTAGGTGAGCACTCTACCACTGAGCCACAACCCCAGCCCCTTGTGTTCTCTTTACTTAATGAGTTTAGAACAGGGATTACGTTAAAGGACCGAGATTACGGACAGCCACAACTGAACTACATTATCTCAGGTAAAAGCACCATGATGCTAAGGACTCTTAAAGGCAATGTCAGTGATGAGGTTACAGGAGCTCAGCATGAACATGTGCAGGTAAAACATGCATGTGTGATCCATCTACTGGAATGGAATGGACTCAATTGTACCTGAGGGCAAAATAATGCAATCTAACATGAATTGAGCAGGTTGGAGAAAGATGGGTCTCCCGCTGACCATGTCATGCTCATTAAAGTACTATGCTAATGAGAGTTACCAAAACAAAAGAGAAGTCCATCAGCTGTCCTCTCTTAATTCTTCTTTATCAAATTGGTATCACCTACAACATGTAAAAATTTGACCCCTTTCTTCATATGCTGCGACTTTAAAAGTTAGAATGAGAGAATTAAGGTGATGACATCCTAAAATTATTTGGGATGACCAGAGTGTACATGGAGTCACAAATGTCCACCTTTCTGTTGGTGGTCATTCCCTACCACCTGCCCAACAGACTCGCCTCCCCACACACATCCTGGCCCACTTAATCAGGGGCTGGCACTGAGAGTTAAGCTGTAAGGGGGTCTGAGTTTATGCTGTGGTCTCCACTATGGAAAACCACACATTTCACTCACAGCATCAGGCTTCTGTCTGAGGCCCTAGCTAAAATGTTTGCAAGAGGAAGAAGAGAATCGTTAGGAAAAGGAATTTGGTTTCAGGACAGTGACAACAAATCAATTTCATTCCTAGTTAAAAAAAAAATAATGTATGGTTGGTGTCAGTCCAACCATGTCCCTCCTTTCTGTCTTTTCTACTTGCACCCCCTGTTCTGTTGTCCTGTAGAATCTCATTTACTCTATTTCCTCCTCCCGTCTACTTTCAGCAATGTGGGTAATTGACAGAGCACACCTGTCAAACGGGAGCGATTGCAGGGTAAAGCCGGGAAGGACTGCTTAGCATTCTGAATTCTAGGACCTACATGTTCACTCGGCAGAAGCACAAGGTTCACAACTGAAGTTTATTCTTCCATTTTTCAAGAAATTACTAGGATGAATTGCTCCTAGAAATAGATCCAAACTATTATGCAACTCATTATCATTTAAGATATTTAAATCACTAACGCCATTGCAATAATCTCAAATGTTAGAAGTGGTAATGCTAGAGAGAAAAAGGCAAATTCAGTGATAAGCTCAGAGGAAGAGAAGACCAGAGTAGGCATTGTTTATTTTCCGTAAATTAATGAGGGAGTTATGAATTCGTTAAAGAGGTACACTTCAAAATTACACTTTATATTTATTGCATAATCTACAGTGTTTGTGATTTGAAAATGTCAAATATATTTAAAACTACAGCTTAGTTAAAATGTCAAGTGCATATTTTAAGTAAATTGGGAAATACCACTAAGTTAAATCTTTTTTTCTGAAATAATAATTGCTTTAAAGAAAATTTCTATAAAGCCAAATGTTGCCAAACTGACATTAATCCTCAATATTTGGTAATATCATACTTCAGGACATATGCCAACATGATTATACTCAAAATATAGCTTATGGAGACTTGGCCTAAGAAATTAATTTCCTCAAGAAGAGTTTTTCAGCAAGATAGTACCCACGGCTTTCATGAAAGCTTTCAAGACTGAGAAATAAGGACTCCACCAGGCAGTTCCTCCCACTATTAACTGAGAGCTTCATTAGCTTTTGTGGAATCCTCCGCTGTCTACTGTGTTCATCTATTGGTCCCATTACATGTCATTTGGAAGAGTTCATGCCAAGGATAAAATATGAGACTTAATGTTTTTCAAAAAGCTGATTGTAGCTAATATTATTTTGACAATTATTATCCAAACAGCTTTGAGTCTGCAACTTACTATACGTTTTGTCTGAAGTACAATATTAGTTAATCCAGGTCTGTTTTTCATTCTTAAAATAATTAATTGAATGCCTACTAAAAGATATATGTGCAGTTAACACATTTGCTACATTCAAGAGACAATCTGAAGTGAAAGATGAGAAAACAAATAAGACCTTTCTAGAAGGAGGTAAGTGAAATAATCCACATTGATGGCTTGGAGCAGCTATTCTACCTTCTCCACCCAGGTTTAGTTGGCCAAGACAGAACAGGGAAACACAAAGCTATGCATAATCTTTGACCGTTC